GATGGGCTGTAAATTACAGCCCTTGGTGTATATTCATTTTTTAATTAATTTTCCTAGTCGTTCTCCATAATCCTAATAGTTCCCCCCCAAAAAAACCAACTATAGACGCCTTGAGGTGAGGGGGAGAGGGGAGAAAAGCTGTACATTTACATTTTTGAGATATTTAACAAAAACTTCATAACCAGGAGTAATAAAAAAATAACATAAAATCTTTCCAAGTTACTCAGTGAAAGTCCAATATAAAGCAAGTGCTTTTTTTTCATTCTATGAACATAGACAGATTTATTGTTTCCTAATATCCTAAAGAAAATATAGCAGTGAAACATTCTCCCATTATATTTATTATGTTAAAACCTGGCATTTAAGAAGCATTAGAAGCAGGCAAAGAAAAAACATATTTCTACCAGTCATTTTAAACTACAAGAGATGGTTGAGATGTCTAGCATTTCAGATACAAAGCTATACTTAGAGAGAATTCAAGTCTGTTCAGAAATTCTACTATAACCAGAACTAATGTAAACTTTGTAAAAGCATACTACTTAGTACTTGTAGTAATTGTACTTACCTGTGCAACTGAGGTAGGTTTTCAGGTTCACTTCATATAGATACTATAATATCAGACGAACTACAGTGAAAACAATTTCCATTTTGTCTTGAATAAAGTAATATCATCTGGGGACAAATTAAAATGACCTCTATGTGGTAACACTAAGACTGGATTTTCCCTTTCTTTTGAATGTGAGATAAAGATGTGAATGGTCAAGAATCTTGTCGCCATGAAGATTTATTTTTTGGCCATACATACATATATATATATATATATACATATATATACATATATATACATATATATACACACAGGAGCTCTGTGTATAATGAATACTGTTGTAAAGAATATCCAAGAGTCTTATGTGACACTGATGACAGGCTCACGTGCATTCTCCATCAGTTTGCAGTTGACATCAAGCTGAGCAGTGCAGTTGGCACATTATAAGGAAAGGAAGCCACCCAGAGGGACCTCAGGAAACTTGAAAGGTGCATCCATATGCATCTAAGCATTAAATTCCACATAGCAAAGTGCAAGGTTTTGTACTTGGGTTGGAGTAGTCTCAGATACATATGCAGACTGGGAGAACTCCTAGGGAGTAGCTCTGCAGAGAATGACATGGGGGTTTTGGTGAATGAAAAATTGAATGTGATCCAGCAGTGCACTCTTGCAGCTTGAAAGGCCAATAGTATCCTGGGCTCCATCACAAAAGGTATGGCCAGCAGGGACAGAGAAGGTGATTGTTCCTCTCTGCTCACAAGGCCCTCTCTGGAATACTGAGTCCACGTCTGAGTCCATAAAAGATGTTGAGCTTTTGGAAAGGGTCCAGAGGAGGGCCAAGAGGATGATCAGAAGGCTGGAGTACCTCTCCTATGCAAACAGGCTGAGGAAGCTGGACATGTTCAGCCTGGATAAGAGAAGGCTGTGAGGAGACCTCATTGCAGCCTTCCAGTATTTAAAAAGGGATTTTAAGTAAGGAGGGGAACACAATTTTTACTTGCATAGACAGGACAAAGGGGGATGATTTCAAGCTGAAGGAGGAAAGGTTTAGATTGGATGTCGGAAGGGAGTTCTTCACAGAGAGAGTAGTGAGGTGCTGGAAGAGGCTGCCCAGAGAAGCAGTGGATGTTCTGTCCCTGGAGATGTTCAAGTCCAGGTTAGATGAGCTTCTGGACAACCTGGTCTAGTACCAGATCTGGAGGTTGGTGGCCCTGCCTGTGGCAGGGGGGTTGGAACTGGGTGATCCTTAGGGTCCTTTTCAACCCAAAACATTTTATGAATCTTACAAGAGTGTGGGAGAAGGAGAGGTCAGCTCAACCTCGTTGAATATTACCTTGCTGATAATACAGTGCTGGGAAAGAGAGATGAACAGTATAAGCAGGGATGTTTCGTAGCTAAGCATGAGATAAGTTGTCTGCTGTTATGAAGACATTATGGAACTTACTTGCTTTCTAGCCAATAGATTCTTAGTGGAAATGTACTGAATATGCTTGTTAGAATATGAAATACTTGTTTAGGAAAGAAAAAGATGATATAGAGAGATAGCAATAAAGAAATCTTTCCTGAACCAGAACCCTGTGTTGTGTTGCTAACTTGCAACACAAGAGCTAAACATTTTATTGGCTTTTAATAAGACTTCATTTTGTAGGGAAGAAATTGCTTTTGTAACAGGAGGTGGGGGAAAGGGGGGAGAGGAGTGTCCAAAACATCCTAAGAAAAGGGATTAATTCAATTATCCCTACTGGAAGCAAAAGCAATTTGGAGAGCAGATCGGTTTGCTTAGGCCACCCCCAAGTGCTCATAAAAAGATAAAACTATCTGAGAAGGTTGTTTTCCTGTTAGAATGAGATACTGGGCCAGTCTGTCTTCTGCTCAAAAACAGTTTTTGGTGCAGGAAACCTGCAGGAAGGTTTGGGTCCTTATGTATAGCAATGATTTTTAAAGAACAAATCATGCTGAGGATGTTATCTTACACTCAGAAAAGAAATTTCTTAGAAGGGGTAGAATAAATTATGGAGGATGCTGCAGATCTATTTCTTGAGCATTCAGAACTACAAAAGAATTATTGGAAGGGGGAGTCAGTAAATGACAAGTAGAGCAAAAACATGAATGGTTTTAGCACATGTAGTTTGTGAAATTTATCCAATATCTTTCTTTTAAAAAGAGTAGGAAAATCTGTTTAAAATAGGAAAGGAAGAATCTAAATTAGATTAAATAAAATAGCTCATATTAAGAAGTGACATATTAGGCTCAAAGACAGTTTCTAACAAAGTTTCTGAAGAGTTGGTCTTAGGTTCTGACTTATTCAGGACCTTGGTATTAAATTTACCTTGCTAATTCTGTTGATTATGTGAAGTAGAGAGACTCTCAATACAGGAAATGATGAGAATATTACACTCTAGAAAAAATAAAAATAAAAGACCTTTTGGACTGGAACAGGAAAATGTTATGAGATTTCATAGTCAAGTGCAAGGTCATGCTTTCGGGGATTAATGACAAGAATTTCCTCCTTCACATGGGAAGTCATTAGTTGGAAATGTCAGAGGAAGAGCAAGATCTAGGTGTATTAGTCAATTATAAGATTACTATGAACCATCACTGTGAAGTAGCCATGAAAATGTCAAAAGCAATCTTAGGATTTTTCAGGCAAGGTATTTCAAAAAGAAATATGGAAGTATTAATGTCATTGGAGCAAGCACTCCTAATATATCAACTGGAATGCTGCATATAATGCAAGCCTATCATGTTCAAGGAAGATGTATTGAATCTCAGTTATATTTGTACTGAATCTTTAAACTCAAGTTCATCGCCAGCAGCCCTACTTAACACTGCTGTGAAATCCCCAGTCAAGCACTGGTGTCAGCTAGGAGGTGTAAGTTACTCACTGAATCCTCCTCCTCTTTTCCTTAATGGATTCGAAGTTCTGAAATGGGCTGAATCAGATCGCTGGACTGCAGGCACTGTTCACAATGTTGCCTAAACTCAACCTTGAACAGGGACAGAGATGAGTGACAATAAGGGTCGCAGGAGCAGAGACACAAAAGGTGCTGGATTGATTAACATAAAATCCAGTGCTGAGATGGCATATGTTAAATCACTATATTCATTCAAAAGAATGAAATGAATACACTGAATACAGACATTAGAATATTTTTTATAATCACCAAATGAGTGAGAGAAGCATGTTTTAAATGTGAAGCTGATCGTTACAGAATTAGACCCTTCAGTTTTCAAACCCTCTTTCCGCACTTACTGTCAGCCCCCCCTGCTGACACACACACAGTCTTAGAGTGTGCATACACCAGTCTGGACACTAATTTTGAATTTTAAAGTTTGACATTTATAAAGCTATCAGTTTTTCAGTTGACTCAATGAAATATGGTAAGAGCTGCTTTTTCCAATTGGAGTTAGCTGTAACACACTGTATAACAGCTGCATTAAAATGTCACTATTGTTTCTTTTATTTAGTGTCTTCTTTCAGGCTTAAGTCTAATCAAACATCCACACAAAGTAGGTAAATGTGACTGTAAAATAAGAAACTTATTTTAGATTTTATCTTTACACATACTTTTTAAAGAGAATAATAGCCTCCCCATAGAACGAATTTATAGTGTGTCTATAGCATCACACATACTTAAAACATTTGACTCCTTCTGGAAAAATTACCCACCAACCAAGACACTTGCCACAGCTGGAGAAGCAGATAATGACTGGAATGATAAGCTAGGAAGCTAACCTCCACCACAACACAGGCATAGCCCAAATAAAATAACCTAGTCTTGTGCCAGTGTATTTCAGAAAGGATTTAAGTCAAATGGTTTATTATTTACTAATAGCAGCTGTTAAAGCTGAATAATTTGCATGACTTTAAATGAAAGCAAAAAGGCTTCATGTGAGGTACTTGTGAACTTCAATGTTTTCATATACATGCAGCAGTAATTAATCTCTCCAGATTTTGTTCTTCAGTCCATAAAAGGCTTAAAAAAGCCCTGAACAAACCATCTTGGAAACATTTATTTACCGACAGAGGCCAAGGCACTGACTGATATTCTCAGTCACTTAGTCCTGGAAGTGCAGAAGAATGATTTCTCAATATAGGAAAATGGCCACATTTCCTGCATGCTTCACTGTTGGAAGGGACTGGGAAGCCAAGATAATGATGAATTATAGATTAATGTTTTCTTCATGGGCTTTAGATTTCTTGAAAAAAATGAGAATTGCACACTTTTTTTTATAGGCTCCAGATAAACTTTTGTTCTTACGCACTGTTGCTGCTACAGAAAATCACAACTTCAAGAAGTAGCACTCAGGATTGTAATTTGCAAAATAAATTCTCATGATAGACTAAGTGAGAATAACAAGCAGCTGAGAGAAGTGTAAGAAGAAGAAGAAAGATCCTCCAAAATTAGAGGGTTATGAAGAGAATCTTACGTTCTAGCCCCATGACACTTGCGCACACTTGCAGTTCCTTAGCTGACGAACACGCAGATTGTGTGCATGCCCACACAAGCATAAACTGCCTCACCACTTCACATGAAAACCTACCTAGGTCTGTTGCCACTAACATTGCTATTAATAGGCCTGAAAAGAAAAGAAAATGGATTACGCACATAAGAACTATTTTAATTGCAAAATTGCTCTCTCTGCTCATGCAGATTTATAATTACCAAAAATCTCTTCTATGATTGATCCACATCAAAGCATTCAACGATAGTATTTTCCATATTCTGTTTCTAGCCATTATTTTATTAAATTTACTCAGATTTTCTTCAGTAAACCATTCTGTGAGCCTTGAAACCTCTTTCACTATTAGTACTCAAACATTTTTCATCTGTTAACAGTAACTTTAGTGCTGATATTAAAAGGAAAAAAGTAGTATGCTTTCTAATAGAAAAGTTACATTATTTAAATTCCTCATTGTTTTTTTTTTTTTTTTTTTTTCTTTTTACTTTTCAAAAGCAAGAAGAATTGAAAGCTGTAATAAACAATTTACAATGTGTAATTAGGTTTAGACTTTGCTGTGGGAATATTACATGAAAAGGTTTGGGTAAACTTTCAATAGATTAGCTTGCTGTATTGTAACAGAAATGAAGGCTATGCATAATCTTCAAGAAAGTGTCCCATGCGAGTTTCATGTTTTCTTGTGCATAGTCTTTGCTTCAAGGTGATTAAACAATGATACAAAGTTCTTATTGATTCATGTCTTCTGTATTTTGTATAGACATACACAGAATCATTGTATCATTGAATAATAGGCCCTGTCTGAAGATAGAAGATTTATTTTTGTGATTAAGACAGTTCTGTTTTAAAATAGATGGTTGGGTTAGGGATGAAAAAGATATGTTCATAAAGCCACAACATTCTGATTCTGATAGCTAAGCACAGTGAATATAAAACTTGTTTCCACAGATTCTTATACTGTCCCATTGTCATTAAGACACCAAACTAATGAAGACGGAGCACAAAATCTCATTTTTTTAGTGATGCAATTGAAACATTTTTTACTATATCAAAGATTTGGCAGCAAGAAAATGACATCAAAGTACCAAGTATTTGCATTAGAGATGAATAATGTGGCAATGTAAAATTAGGATTAAAGTTGAACAAGACCAAATTCCAAATAACTAATTTAAAAATAGGTAATATTTCACAGCTTATTTTAATTACAGTTTGATTATTTTGTTAAAATTACTGTTGTAACATCAGATGTACAAAACAAAGGATTTCTTTTTGAAGTGTACAATTAACAGTTAATTTCACTTGAGTTCAGATATGCTTCAAGCAGCCACTTTGGAAGGTTTCTATTAAATGTCATACATAATTACATAAAACTTGTAAAAATTTATAATCATCATACTTTTGGATGCTTTCAAGATTCTGGAGAACCTCTCAAGCATTACTAGTCTGCTACTCAACTTTCCTGTTAAGCAGCCAGCTGCCTTGAAATTCAGTTTGAAATATGTTTTTCATTCATTTTCCAAGTAGTCAATTCAAACTTGAGCAAAAATATTGAATTGACTATGAAGAAATGTGGTTGCTACATTCCACAACAGAATTTGATAATTTGGCATGACTGGTAATTAGAGTTGGTTTTCTTAAATGGCATATTGTGAAATTTTTGCTTAAGTACAGTTTGTTTCGTTTTACCTTCCTTTTGTATGTTTAAGAAAATCAATGCATATGATTAAAAAAAGTTCAGTAAATTGACCAACAGAGCAATGTTATCACACAGGTAATTCCCAAAGGCTATTCTACAAACTAGATACACCAAAATTGCCGTTTGTCAAAAGTACTGTACCTTTGGTCTCAGCTGGCATGTAGTTAAAAACTCTGTTTGAATTCCATTTACACTGCTGAACAATGAGTGATCAGCCTGTCATTTAAGAGAAATACAAGGATCTGTGTCAGATGAGAGCTGTACAAGTTCCAGTATCATTCTAGAAGGCATAAAATGCTATTTTGCCTCAAAACAGCTCATCAAGAAAGCTGAAATGCTGTATGAAGAAATAGTATTACAATGTTCTAATTAAATTGATAACAAAAAAGAAATCCCAACATGTGGGTAAAGAGGATGTTTAACTTGAGTAAAAACTCTTTGTATTCAAAATAAGTATTTTGACTGCAAGCAAGCAAAAGTATAGCTAAATCAGTGTCCTCTTCAATGACAAAACACACAAATATGCAGGGCTTACATAAATCACTTGCTCTGAACATACACTAAAAACCAAGGAGAAAATGTCTTTGGGATAGAGCGCAGGAGGAACAGCTTCCTGATTTTTGATAAAAGGAGTAACAGACAAATGCCCTTTGTTTCTGTCCGTCTTTATATTATCCATATTTAAATATCTGTCTCTACATTATACACATTTGAATATACTTTTTTAATAAATAAGCTGTATTTTTGTGCATCATTTTCAGTGTTGCATTGTATTTACCACGGCCTTCAAGATGACAAAAATTTGCTCTGTTAGAATATAGTTATGCTATGCTATGCAATTGAGAACATCTCATCATCAGCCTTCCTCCTCCAGTTTTATCTCTCAGTGCCCTGCCTTTCTTACAACCTAGAAAACAAAAAAATGAATACTAACCACTTTGTAAAGTGGATAGATTTTCACACCAGCTTGTATGTTATGGAAAAAAAATTATTCAGAAAGAAAAGCAGAGTGAAACAGGTGACGGTTCAAATTTTGAAGTACTGATAATGAAAGACAGAGGCAAACAAAGCTTTCTTCTTCATACTAAAGTTTTTTTTTTTAAGTCAAATAAGTCACAGTTCTAGTAAAAAAATAAAATCAGATCTGGATTTTCTTTATTTGGCTAAGCAAGAAATTAGTTGCCAATCAGATATATATATATTTTTTTTAATTGAAATCATCCCCATAGCTACATAATGAAGATATTCACTGTTAAGAAAAGAGCCAGTTTTTGTCTATGATTTTATTCTACGTAACTATACTTCCTGAGGTCATCTGCAAAGCACAGGGGACTACACTTCCCTTAGAATATTTGCTAACAAATAAAATACTGAATGAAAGCACAAAGCACTTACTGTTGAGGGTTAGAGTTAGTCAAGCAAATCAACAGAAAAATAAATATTTGTTGCAATTATCCCTTCTTCTAATGTTAAAGTTCTAACCCTTCAGATGTTGAGGGTGGTTTTTTTTTTCCTGCTTGTTTATTTTCTAAAAAAAAAAAATTTTTTCCTGAAATGCTTTCCCAAGTCATTTAAGTGCTGTTAAAATAGAGATGTAAAAAAAATTCTGACAATTTATTTTCCAATAAGTATTTTATCTCTGAACCTTTGATTTTTGACACAATCATGGGAAAGATGAGAATGTTGTTTCATATTTTGTTAGAAGCAGCTCCTCAGTAGGATAAGATGAATGAAGTTTTGTACCAATCATAATGCATTATTATATTATAATGCAGTTTCTTGAAATATTCAGAAGAATCCAGAAGAAAAATCCTATGTGCTACATCCTTCTTGCAACATTTTTTTTTTTTTGTCAAAATATGTTACCTACAAAGAAAAAAACAATAGGAAAAAATTAAATATCTCTCATTTTATGCAAGTATTACAGCATTTAATTTTAAGATAGAAATATTTAATATTATTCATAACTTTTTTTTTCACTTGATTCTTGTTTTAATTCAATGTTATATTTTTATGTACTGGAAAATTTCAGAATAAATTAAAGGGTTTAATAGGAAGAAAATGCTTTGACACCGGTACAAAATATCAACATCAGTGTAGTTTCACTACTAATGATTTCAAATGTTGCGTGCAGACTTCCCTCTAATTGATTCATCTTGCAGACTTAGCAAGCAAAAGTAATAATTACCTTGAATTTTAGTTAGTGACATCATCTTCAACACAGAAATGGTATCCAAATTTCAAAAAAAAATGCATCATCTGATACTTTTAAATTTATCTGTGAACTGGCCTAGATTTCTGATTTACACCTTATAATGTAAAGGTGTAAATCAGCCTTACATGAACTGGCATACAAAATGTGAGACCTATCACTGTACACAATGGTAGAAATTTTAACTAGTGCTGTGTATTATTTCATTTCCAAAATTTTAATCTTGAAATAAAGTGAGTAATCTGAGAAATTAGGCAGTGCAGATTTCTGGTCTTAGCTCCTAATTCTTTTTCAGTTCTGTCGGCTTCATTATAACATGTAAGAAATAGTAATAATAATAATAATAATACTACAAAAACAGTACAGTGCAATTTTAGGATTGCTGGGTTTAGACAACCATTGGGACAATATTAAGTATAAGTATATACTTAAATGCAACCAATGACCTGTAGCATCCACTATTGTCATGTTTCTTAAGCCTATTGTGTCTTTTAATCTGCCTGAGATTTTCTTCAGAGATTTCCAGGGATTTACTCATAACAAAACAAACAAACAAACAAACAACAGCAAAAAACACAAAACAATGGCCTTTACCTAAGTAAAAAGAAAAAACAAAAAAGATGCAGCTTTGGGCAGTCTGCCTTCACAAGTGCCAACAGCATTTCTTTCAAAGGCACCTGCTGTTACACAACAACTCCAGCCTGCAAAGGACAGCAACAACGACAGAATCCTTTCTTTTTTCTCCACTACGTGAAACCAGAGCCATGAATGTATACAGATGTCTTTAATTTATTACACAAAAGCAAGTCTGGACTTCCTTAACCTTCAAAATAATGAAACATAAGCATCACCAAAGACGGTAAGGGGAAACAAACCATTTCAACAGAAATTAACTGAAAACGTTTGTCATAGAAAAATTCACTGTTTTTCCAAGGCAAATAACTGAGCTTGAAACTGCAGGTTGGACTTCCACATACAAAATGCACACATTAGCATTCATTAGCATCACTGCTTCTTTAGTGTTTATCCAGGACCATTGACTTTGTTTTTACACAGGGATGAACCCTATGAGAACAGTGCCATCACAACGGATGCATTTTTACAGCTCAAATTCCCATGGCAGCACATCTGAAAAGATGTTTTTGGTGGGAACACAGGGGTTCACCACTACTGTGCTGGCAGTTAGGATTACTACTGGAGTTGTCGGAGACACTTTCAAGATTTTTTTTTCTCTGAAAAGTCTGCCATGATGGAGTCCCCCACATCCTTTTCCTTTCTTCTCTTTCTCTCTTATTTTTTTTAGCAAGTGCCTTTTCTTTTTTTTTTTCTTTTTTTTTTTTTTTCCTTCATCAGAATTTTCTAAATAAACCTGTATTCAAAAGATAAGTTAACAGTGATTTTCAGTTTTGGTTGGGACTGACGCTCCCATCATATTTGTCCTGTGTTTGAAATGTTTGGAAGCCTGTTCCTCAAATATTTGATTTATGAGTATGTTGATAACCAGCATTTGGCTTAGAGAGTCAGTAAGAACAAGCTGAACAAAAAACATTAAGCAATTTCACTGAAAAATAAATAAATAAATAAAATAAAAAAATAATCACCATCCAAGCAAATTTTTATGTGCCTGTGTTCCTGGAGTCAAACACCTTACAGGTTTGATTATTTCATTAAGGACTTTCTTTAAGAGTAAATGCCCTTCTACAGTTTGGTTGGCAGAGGAGCAGAGAACCCACCGGAACATTTATCCCTACACATTTCTGAGCAGCTGAGGTAACTGTTACAGAGACCACAATGATTTCTAGATCAGAACAAAGCAGTGGTCTATATCATCCAATACAGTATTTGTAGCAATACATAACCCTGTAAAGCATTACCTCTACATAGTGCTTTTTATGTTTGGTATTCCATGGACAGTGATTTTCCCTTGATCCCAGCTGTCAAGGAATTTTTTCCCTGAAGCAGTAAGAATGGCTGCTTTGAATTAGGTAGTACAGCCTCAAGTGTTACTCTGTTCATGTGGCTTTATGCAGTCTTTGAATTTTACAGAGCTGTTTAAACACTTTCCCGTGACACAAGTTCTACAAGGAAATTTCAAGTTAAAAAAAAAAAAAAGTGAAAATAATAAAAAAAAGCCCTTTATTTTCTCAATTTAGCTACTGTTTGTCTGAGTTCTTAATACTACACAAACAGAACTTAAATCAGTGGATTTTTCCACGTTTTTTTTTACTTTCTTGTTAGCCTATCTGTGCTTATTGTTTCATAATAATTCCTAATCAATAACTCAGATTGAGTGCCTGCTTATAGATACAGAAAATAAAAGCTATTGTTTACCTTTTATGTTGCATTCATAGCTTTGAGCATTAAACAAGGAAGTGCTTGCTGAGATATCTTTAATTTCAAAAGAAAAAAGTGTGAATTATGCCTGAAAAATTTTGTGCTGAAAAATTCTATTTGTTTTATTTATGAAAGAATAATTTGGTAGGAAGATAAAAGGGGCATTCTTACATTGGATCTTTTCTCACAAATTCATAGAAATAACTTCCACTAACAAAAGGGAAAATGTTGTACTAACAGTACTCAATGTTTAGAATGCTCTGATATTGTGAGAGGCTGAAATATAAATCTTCAAAGTACTCATGGGACTAGTTTCAGTAATGGATCATTTTGCTATATCAAAGAACAATTAACTTATTCATTAAAAATTTAGAAACGTCTAAATTTATTCATGAATATATCTAGCACTTATTAATTAAATTTCTCATATGAGCAAAAAACTATTCAAGTATGAGCTTAAGTGTTTTCTTACATACTTACATCTCTCTGAAGTCATTGAAAAGTAAGCAGGTGCTTTTATAACCAGTAATACTATCTTGACTAATGAAAATACTTTTTCAAAATATTGTAAATATCTGATATATTCAGAATTAGGTTTCTCTAAAAATATGTAAAGGTTAATTTTTTTTTTTTTTTTTTTTTTTTTTTTTAATAATTCTGCAGTTCATTTTGAATTAAAGTCATGACTTTATTCCCTAGACCAGAACATTCATTTGCTTAGTGTGTTCAAGTTGGAGTCAGAACTTTGTGACTCAAGTTCACTTGAGCAAATCAGAAAGCATTAGTTTTCCTTGCTAACATAGCTACATAGGTCAACATTAGTACAAGAATGTGTTTTCCACTAGAACAGTGGAGAAATATGCTTTTATATATTGGAGATTTGTTGGAGGTTCCATATAGTTCCTAACTATTTTACAGTCACTTCAGATCAGTCAGATCTTCTCTGTGAATGATCCCTAATAGAAACACAAAATCATCTCAGCTGGAGAAGACCACCAAAATTATCAAGACTGATCACCATTCTGTCCCATAAAGACCTATTAAAAAAAAAAAAACAAAACATGTCCCTTAGTGCTACACTCACATGTCACAACCATTTTCAGAGACAGGGGCTGCACCAGTAACCTGGACAGTCTAACCAACCTCTTCATTAAGAAATAGCCAATCTCTCAATAGCCAATTTAAGCCTCTTTCGTCACAAGTTGAGACTGTTTCCTCTCAGACTTTCACTTGTCACCTGAGAAAAGACACCAACACTCCCCTAACTGCAACCTGACCAACTTTTGTAAAAATATTTTCTTCTCAGTGTTACAACAACATGAAATTTATAATCCCAAACATTTATTTTCTTACACAACAGAAATACATGAGTAAGAATTCCTTGGAAGTAAAGCAAAGCTGTACTAGTAATATATTAATCTGTAAACAAAACATGATAAAGTGTCTGCACCATGTTTTGCCTTTGTTACATTGCCTTGGCTGTGCCACTGCAGCTGCTGGTATCTAGCCAACACGCAAGAATATTGAAGTGATTTTTTGTTAAGAATAACTTTTTTTGTTCTTCACTGATCCAGTCCATTGCACATCCTGTGAAGAGTAACGTGCACAACAGAGCAAGGTAAAACTCTTTAACCTAATTTTGTATCAGAAGAAACATTTGTAGGGCCATGGTGCGCTCTGCTCAGTCTCTCACAATTTTACTTGAACGTACTTCACAATATATACATGGTGATATCTTGTGCAGGATAAAAGAGAAAAAAGGTGTAATTCCCTGTAAGTTTTAGGCAACATTATGTCTTGCTCTGTTACTGTAGAGTTCACTTCAGTTAGGTAGGACACCAGCTACGTCAGAATTTGCTCTCAGATCATAAAGCAAAGTTCCAAAATTTCTGAGTTGTTTCCATTTTGTGTGATAGCTCTGCATCCCTTCAGTTTTGTTACAGACTATAAACATTTGATTACATAATAACAAGCCTGATATCTGATTTTTATCTGGTCCAAAACATAGCATCCTGCCACAATTTGAAATTAAATTAAAAAATAAAATAAAGGAATCTATAAACAGAGCTATACATTTACACAGTACAAGTTCCAATTTTTTTTTTTTTAATTGCTGCCATTTATTCATACCTTGGATATGATGTTTTACATTTTAAAAACAACAGTATTCAAGAATGTCAGTTGTCTGTGGATGTAAAGTCATTGTGGATTTTTCCCATGTGTCCTTCTGGCTTGAGAAATTAATGCTATACAGCATCTTGTTTGTTACTGTCCTGGTGTAAGATGCTATCTCCTTGGTATTGTGAACGTGTTTATTAAC